AGGACTCTAGGGGAGACCATGCTAAGACAGCGTCAGAGTGCTGGAAACAGGGAAAGATGGTGGAGTATCCACAGGCCCCCCACGAACCTCCCAGGCTGTGAGCGGCTGGGGCTTCAACGCTGCCCCCCCCACACAGCCTCAGCTCCAATTCCATCCCTGTTGGCTATTTTATATCTGATCTGTAAAAGCGATAAGCCTCCGCATTTGTGGTGTTATGTTTGCGCATATTGAAGTAAAATTACCATGAAAAGAACTTGAGTAAACATTGCGGGTCTGTGAGAATATTCCCTTCTTCTAAAGGGATCAATGCAGCATTCAGGGCTGGGAAATGCTGAGTGTTGCTAAATGGTGTTCGAACTGGAAGGGACCCAGCAGCCTTGATTGGACGCAGAGGCTGCCAGGAAATGTCGCGAGCTGGCAGCCCAGAGTCTTTGCACAATTCGGAGACAGTTCCGCCTCTGAGCGCACGCGGCGGATCTGCGGGTGGCGTGAAAGGCATTCTTGTGTGGAAGAGGCGGAGGCTTAAACCCTCGGTGAGGGGGCGCTTCAGGGAACGACTGTGGGGCAGAAGCCGCTGACAGTCTAACCAGTATGATGGGACTTCGGTGTCTGCAGGTATATTCGGGTCACTCTTAGAATTTTTTTTCTTAATCCTCACCCGAGGATATTTTTCTATTTATCTTCAGATAGAGGGGGTGGGGGAAGAGAGAGAGAGGGAGAGAGAGAGAGAGAGAGAGAGAGAGAGAGAGAGAGAGAGAGAAACATTGATGTGAGAGAGACACATCAACAGGTTGCCTCCAGGGCTGGAATGGGACCTGCGACTCATTGGTCCGGGGCTGACACTCTACCGCTGAGCCACACAGACCAGGGCCATTCTTAGAATTTTGATGTCCCTGAATTCCGTCAACCATCAATGTCTCAATTTATTTGCCAGGGCTTTTGAATTTGCAAATGATCGAAAACTGCAGCTCAGATCAACCTGGGCAGAAAAAAAGACATAGGTTTGCTTTAGTGGCTGAAGACACCACCCAGAGCCTTTGACGCTGCACGGACACCTCGGAGGGCCCTCTGGAATGGGTCGTTTCCTTCTCTTGCGTCCAGTTTCTCCTGTGCTGTGGGCACTGCAGGTAGACTCTGCAGCTGGTGGTGCCCCTGGCAGGCCCAGCCTTGGTATTTTACGAGACTCAAGTCCAAAGAAGGATCAAGCAGAAGTCATAGGTCTGACTCTCACGGTGAGTACGGTCCCATGAGAGTCCCTGAACCGTCCCGGCTGGCAGGACCTGGCCCTGCCCGTCCAGCGCAGCCTGAGAAGCAGGTGGCTGAGAACGGACTGGAATTCGGTTCTCCAGAAGAAGACAGGCCTGCCCTTCGTGACTGGAAGAAGGAGAATGGGTGCTGGGCAGCAGACCCTCATGTATAGCCTTATCTATACCAGCTGCCTGCACGCAATCACTGTTAAACTAGGGCAGCCCCTCTGTCCGCAGGGGGCAGCTCCAGGACACCACCTCCCCCGCAGATACCAAAGTTCGTGGACGCTCAAGTTCCTTTGTAGACAATGGTGTAGTACCTGCATATAACCTACACACACATCCTCCCGATGCCTGAAATACCCCCGCGTTCTTACAACGCGGATACACTGTACATGCCGTATGTCGTAGTCGCATCGTATTGCTCAGGGAACAATGACAGTAAGAACACGTCTGTGCGTGTTCAGTAGCGATGCAGACATCTAGACCTAACTACATGGTCCACAGCCTATTATCCCCACACCCGTTATCCCTGAATATTTTACTTCCATCTGAGGTTGGTTGACTGCCTGGGGATGCAGAGTTCATGGGCACGGAGGGCCCACTGTATGAATATAAACAAGTACACCTCTAATGAACGGATAGAAGCAACGTCTTTGGCGTACAGGGAAGAAATATGATCTGATTGCAAGTCTAGAAGGCGGCTGTGGTCTGTTTGAAAAACGTGCTCCAAGGAGGCTGATGAGTGACTTGGTTTCATCTGCAGTCCAGGGAGCCGTGTGGGCTGGACAGTCTGAAGTGTGGCCATGGACATCGGAGCTGTGCTTGTTGCATCTCTAATAAAACACGTGTTGGCTGGCAGGTCAGTTCACTGGAAGGTAGAATGAGGATCATAAAAAAAAAAAAAGGCCCCTGGTCAGTTTGGCGCAGCAGTTAGAGCCTCGGCGCGGACCAGAGAGTCCCAGGTTCAGTCCCTGCTAAGGGCACATACATCAGTTGCAGTTTGTCCCCAGCCCCAGTTGGGGTCCTGTGGGTGGCAGCCACTCGATGTGTCTCTCTCACATCAATGTTTCTCCCCCCCTCCCCCCCCAGTCTATCTGAAGATAAATGCAAAAATGTCCACAGGTGAGGATAAAAAATAAAAGGACCAAATTGAATAACGTGATGTGAAGAATAAAATAAAGGCTGATCACTAGGTCCCTAAGGCCAACGCCACACGTATATGATGGGGAAGCCTTACCCACAATCAGATTCCGGCGGGCCCCTGCGTCACCTCTTCTCTCGCCCGTGGTGGGGACCAACCAGGTGTTGAGTCCCTCAGTCCTCAGGGGAACCCTCAAAGGAGTTCTTCCCGGAACACTGCAGGAGATGGGGGTGGGGGGGGTGACCTGGACACAGCAGCCACAGGCGGGACAGCAGAATACGGATTGAACTCGGCCCAGGACAACTGAGGAATTTCAGGCTGCCTTACGCCTGGTGCTAAAGAAAGGCCTTCACCTCTTCTGCTGGAGATGGAACCTAATTTGCATGTTCTTGGGCGAGAGGGAGAAGAGGACGTGCCTGGGAGACCCTGGCGAAGGGCAGAAGTCCCAGAGCTCAGAGCCTTTGCAGGGTCCTTCAGCCTGAGCCACCCCGAGGTGGGGGAGGGGCAGAAGATGGAGACAGCGGTGAGGCCAGAAGAGAATTCCGTCCAGTTGCTTGTATTTCTTCTCTAGTTCACCTGATACACTTCCGTCTGGCTGGGCTACCTGCTAGGTGGCCCAGGGGCCGGATGCTGCAGAGATGGGAAGACGGATACCGTTAGGGGGTTGGGCTGAGAGAACGAAGTGTCTGCAATGCTGCCGCACAGTGCTGGGGCGTGGATGGGGGGCTGTTGAAGGCTCCCTGGGCAGCTCGACTTGGGAACTTAGAGGGATGTGAGCTGTCTCTGCCCGCCAGTAGCCTGCGACAGCTCGGAACTCGATCCGGAACAGCGAGGCCTGCTTTGTGTCCCTCCGTAAGAAGCCACCCAGCACCAAGGGTGGCCTCTGTGCTCATTCTGTGGTCAGTCTGCTTGAGCCACACAAATCCTGCTGAGCCTCGGTTCCTGGTGGAAGGTGGCTTTACTCCCTCTGACTCCGGAAGCGGAAGGTTCACATGCCCTGTTTCTCACTGGTTCACATTCGGAACCCAAGTGGGATGCGGCACTAGTGACCTGAGTCCCAGTGATCAGCGGTCCCGGGACACAGGGGGGCTCTGCGTGTTCCGCAAACACTGTGCCTGGAACCCCGGGACCCAGCAGGCTCCCCTGGGCCCCGGACCTGTACAGGCAGGAACCCCCCCCCCCATTCCCCGGCAGCGCCCCCCGGTGGAGAAAAGGCGCGGAGGGCTTGTTCCCTGTGTGCCTCTGCTTCCAGGTCTCCGGAAGGCCCGTTTCCCGGCCACGCTTCTGCCATCCTGCCTCACTGCACATTTAGTTTCACAGTCTCGGTTCCTCACGGGCGCCGGTCGCAAGCACCTCCTCCGCCCTGCTCCGTTCCTCTCGGCCTTCTAGCAGCAAATCCAAGGGTCCTGGCCTGGCACCTCCTCGGCCTCACTTCCAGTGCATCTGGTCTTACTTTCCCCTCCCAGGAGCACCGGCTCCTTCTGCTCCCAGGTCCGAGACATCCTCCATCACGCTCCTGTCCCCCACTCCTTGGCAGATATCAGCCGAGGCCCTGTTGTCGGCTGGACTGGTCTAAGCACGGGGACATGATTCCGTCCTGGGGACGGACCTCCAGGGCACAGTGCCTGCCTGCCCCGGCCTCCCATCTTCACTCCCGCCTGGTGCTCTCAGGAGTGACCGCATGTAGGTCTGCTGAACCGGACAGCTGGGGACAACCAGAGCGGTACCTGCAGTGAGTGGGACCTGTCTCTGGCCCTGGGTGGCAGGAAGAAAGAGTCAGAACTGCGGAGAGAGAGGGAGGCAGCGCTCAGCAGCAGCACCATTGCTGTTGGTGCTGAAGGAGAAGCAGTTTCTCCCTGGAGGCTAGGAGGCCTCCAGTCCCTCCTAGCACCTGCTTTGAAGCCGGTTTGTCCATGTTGAGGTGGGCGGGGTGAAAGGAATTTGTCTGGAAGCACCTCCCACAGCCCAGGCCTGAGCCCAGAAAGGTTCCCTTTTTATGCATCTGAGCTTTTTCAGTGATTTCAAGAGGAGGGAACAGGAAGCAGTGTCCTGGGAACAGATGTCCCCATAGAAATCCCATGTTCGGGGTTACTTTGAAGTTACCCCCTTCCCCCACCCCCACCCCTTTATCCCAGAAAAGTAGCGCAGTTCTTGACCAAACCAAAGCGTAAAAACAAATCCGAACCACACGGGCCTCTGCTTAAGGGCCCGGCGTTCTGACAAAGTGAATCACGAACGTTTCTATTGGTGGCAGAAGAGACAGCGGGCAGGAACGGGGAGCCGAGGGGGAGGGGGGGATTCGCAGCGATTCAGAAAGCAGGCTTTGTGGATTTTTATGAGTTTCTTGCTCTTACGCGTCGGCCCCTCTGAGTTTGTAAATGCAAAGAGGGAAAAACTCCCGACCGCCTGCTAAGCCAACTCGGCCTTCCAATTGCAGATCCATCAGGGTGGCTCAGGATTTCAGCGGTGGCAAAAACAAGCCGTCCACAGGGTGGAGAGCCAGAGGGGCCCATTAGGAAGGAAGACATCAAAGAAAAGAAGAAAAGAAAGACAGAAGCCCAGATGGAAGATCCAGTGGAAAGTCAGTGAGCGACAGGGAAGGAAGGAGAATGGCAGCCTTGGCCAGGCTGGTGGCCGGCAGCGGAGTGGGGGACGCGGCCGCGCGCGAGAGTGACAGGTGGGTCTCGCCTTCCGGAAGCCGAGCAAGTGGAGGACCCCCAAAGCCCGGCGGCGGAGGGAGCCGGGAGCGGGAGGAGGCTGCCGCAGGCGAGAAGGGCGCGCGGGCTTCCTGGAGCCTCTCGCCCGCCCTCCGCGCTCCGGCCGTCCCCGCCTCTGACGCGCCGCGGCTGCCCGGCTCCCAGCTGCCTGGTCTGGAGAGCTCCCCGCGCCGCCGGAGGGGAGGAGCTAGGTCTGGCCGGGACCAGGAGCCCCGGGGATGAGCCGCGGAGGGCAGCGCGGGCACTGACGCTAGTCGGGGCAGCCACTGCTGGCCGCGGGCAGCGTGATGAGCAAACCCGCGGAGACGCCCTAGCCGGGTGCACGCGCCGGGCGGAGCGCGCAGGTCGGGCTGCGCTCTCCGGCGGTGCGCCCGGCGCGGTCCCCCGCCGCCCGGAGGATGGGTGCTGGCGCACCCGGGCTGCGCCCTCCGCTGCAGCCCCCGCGCCCACCGCGAGCCCGGAGTCTGGCCGGCGCCCTACGATCATGTATGTAGGCTGGGCGCCCGACCCCAGGGATGAGGGTGCATGTTGGTTGTCTTCTCCCTGGGCACCGTTCAGCCTCCCTGGAGCTCGGCAGGAACTCCCTCCTCCCCAAGTTTGTAAATATGGGCGATTCGCCCCAGCCGAGGTCCACTGGGCCCGGGCTGGGAGCCAGCAGAGGGCTTGGATGACCAAAGCCTCACTGGAGACCACGTGAGGGGGAGGGAGACTGCTGGAGCGCGGAATTGGGGTGGTGGGATTTGGGGGGCGTGAGGGTGGCTGGGTTTCCGCGTCTAGGGTTCTCTTGGCCCCTTTGGGCGGCAGAAACTTTAGGATCTAGAAAGGCTTTGGGGACAGGGATAGTGAGAGGGACTCACCCCCGCCCCGCGCCCCCCCCCGCAGCCCCCCCACCGCACACTTCGGCACTGGTCCTAGCACCTCTTCTGCACCCCCAGACCCCCTCCTAGGTACGAAGCCAGTGGAAGACTGGGCGCTGCGGCCCGCGCGGGGTTCTTTCTCCGCTGCCAGGTCGCTGGGCAGCCTGCTTGGCTCCGTGGCCAGTGGGGGAGCCAAGCCCTCGGAATTCCCAACCCCGCCGCCTGGGGTGGTCAGGGACACCCTCCTGGGCAGGGGACCCGGGGAGGAGGGCGGGAAGCAGGGTCTGCCACCCGTACTGGATGCATTTGAAAAGTTGTTGGAGGTGAATCATGGGGCTCTAGCAGCTTCGCTCCATCCCCTTGGTCCCGGGGTTGAGGGGGTGGGGTTCCCGCTTAGCTCCCAGCACAGCCGCGCATCTCCAAGTCCATAATGGAATTCTCCATTTGGTAACCTAGGGGAATGTGCGGCCAGGACCTAGGGAGGGGCGCCCTGGGAGCCCAGTAATGTGGCTCGATCCAAGGTTTGCCGGTGGGGGGAGGGGAGGCTGCGGCCCGGCCCCGGCTTTCCCGGGCTCCGCCAGCCGCCCTAGGCCATCTCCGCCGCTAATCACGGCTACGTGAGAAACGCTGCAGCGGCTGTTTTTCTGGAACTTCGCTTCCATGTACGTGTCCACACGAAGTCGTGATGTCTAAGGAGCCCCGCTGGGCACGGGCGCGGGACAGGCGGTCCTGCTGGTCCCCCTGGAGCGCTGCGGGAGCCCGGCGGCGCGGGGCCGGGTGGGGGCCGGGCGCGCGCGGGCCGTGGGGCTCAGCTGTGCTGCTGTTCTCTCCACAGGGACGGCGGCTCCCGGCTGGCGGCGGCGCGCCCCCGGGCTGTGAATGCGACTCGCCCCTCGGCCGCGCTCCCCGCCCGCCCGCCCGCCGGGACGTGGTAGGGGTGCCCAGCTCCACTGCGATGGCAGTTGGCGCGCTGTCCAGTTCGCTCCTGGTCACCTGCTGCCTGATGGTGGCTCTGTGCAGCCCGAGCATCCCGCTGGAGAAGCTGGCCCAGGCGCCGGGCCAGCCGGGCCAGGAGAAGCGGGAGCACGCGTCTCGGGACGGCCCGGGAAGGGTGAGCGAGCTCGGGCGCCCGGCGAGGGACGAGGGCGGCAGCGGCCGGGACTGGAAGAGCAAGGGCGGCCGTGGGCTTGCCGGCCGAGAGGCGTGGAGCAAACAGAAGCAGGCCTGGGCCACCCAGGGTGAGGGCGCCAAGGCTGGGGACCTGCAGGTCCGGCCCCGCGGGGACACCCCGCAGGAGGAGCCCCCGGCGGCCGCCGCCCAGGACGTAGCGGGCCCGGACCCGGCGCCCGCGACGGAGCCGCCCGAGGAGTACGCCTACCCGGACTACCGCGGCAAGGGCTGCGTGGACGAGAGCGGCTTCGTGTACGCCATCGGGGAGAAGTTCGCGCCCGGCCCGTCGGCCTGCCCGTGCCTGTGCACCGAGGAGGGCCCGCTGTGCGCGCAGCCCGAGTGCCCGCGGCTGCACCCGCGCTGCCTCCACGTCGACACGAGCCAGTGCTGCCCGAAGTGCAAGGAGAGGAAGAACTACTGCGAGTTCCGGGGCAAGACCTACCAGACTCTGGAGGAGTTCGTGGTAAGAGGCCAGCGCCCGCGGGCGACTGGGCACCTCCCAGGAAGGGGGCGACCGCCCTGAGCGCTGTGCGCCCTACTGTGCCGAGGAGGCGCCTGGCTCCCCAGAGGTGGACCGCGCTGGGCCGCGCCCCCTGGCACACCTCTGTGTGTCAGTGCGCAGGGAATCTTCCGAAGCCATGTGGCCACTTGACATTAATTCCTTTGTCTCCCCCGCGACAGGGTTTCCTTAGAGCGAAGCCCCAGCTCTGAAGGGGCAGGCCAGACCTCCTTGGGGCTGTACTTCTAACATTAGCTGTGGCTCCTCCTCTGAAAGTGTGGCCTTTGAAATGCTCCACCTGTTTCCAAACACAGGGTGATGCGCTCTGCCTTGGGGGCATGTGTTCCGAAGCTCACAGCCTATTAAGGGAGACGATTCATGTAAATAAGCCATTTCCCTAGATTTTGTGTTGGGGCATCGTGCGGAGATTGCGAAAATTAAGAGGAAATGTTTGCTCATTGGGTGCCCAAACTTGGTGGTTGGCAAAAACCAAGGAGCCAGTTCTTGGGTAAAAGTGTTCTGCTTTAGATGAGTACTAGTTACAAGGTTACCAGCACTGGTGTGGCAGCCTGCAGGCTGCTTTTCAAACCTACCTTAACTTAGTTAAACCTCATACCAGCTGTAAGTGGAATATTGCCTGTTATCTCCAGTTTATGGAGAAGAGGACACTGAGACACAGAATATTTAAATAATGTGGTGAAGGCCACGCAGCAGTTCCGGAGCGGCCAGTGCCCACCTCAGCAGTTCTACCCTCAGGTGCATGCCTTGGCCCCCTGCACTCAGCTTGAGCCCAGAGCGCAGCCCCTCGGGGCGCTGGTTAGGACAGAGACGCATGCGCTGGGCCCACATGGACCGGAAAAGCCCGGACTCTCCATTAGTGGGCCTGGGAGACACCGGCACACTGTTCAGTCTTTCCAAACCCCCAAGGTCGGCTCAACCCATGGCCTGCCGGGACTTGGCCCACTGACTGGGAATGCCAGCGATGTCCTGGGTGGCAGAAGGGATCCTGGACCCCAGAGCCCCCAGAGCCAAGCAGGAAGGGCAGCTGGAGAGGGATCCCGCTGGCTCCCCAGGACACAGCCACTGAGAAATGCAGATGCGGGTTTGCCGGGGATGTGACTGCTTGTAGGGAGGGTTAGGCTTGACTCCCGAGTGGTGCAGAAACAGGAAGCCAGAGGACGGGCCTGCAGATGACGAACAAGTGTAGAAAACGTGTTGTGAGTGAGAGTCAGGAAGCACAAGTTTCCATTTTGGCTTTGCAGCTCACCAGCCACATGACAAGGTCACAGCCCACGTCCCCTCTGGGTTTCTCTTTTTGCTGCAAGATAAGGAGCCAAGCTGCTGCGGAGGCTCATGGGAGCTGGAGCCACAGTTCTTGGCTTCAGCCCTTGGAGGGACAAAGAAAACTTTGATGAGAAACTCGTATGAACCAGGCCCCGAGCACACGCGTGAGCAAGTCAGGACCCCTGTCCTCAGACTGCTCGGGGACTGCTGGGGAGTTGGGCAGATGCCTCCCCAGACCTGGGGGTACGGCAGAGGCTGAACTGGCCACGGCTCTGGTGGAGCCCGAGGAGGGACTGCCACCTGGCCTGGGACAGGGCGGGAGGCACAGACCCGACAGAACAATTCTCTTGAGACGTAGGCTCATAAGAAAATCTAAGTGTTCTCAGATCAAAGACAAGTGGCTTATTTTTAATTATTAACATTTATAGCTGCACCGTATGGCGTTCCACCGTCATTTCTTCAAAGTGCCCCACGAGGAAGGCTGAGGTACTGTCAGGGTTTTGATGTACAACACCAAACGCGTCACAGAGCAGCTGTGTCCACCCGAGATCACAGGTAGAAGGAAGACCCGAGACTCCTGCTCAGTATGCACTGCCAAGCGCCCGATGCCCCGGGGCCGCTTTGGGGGTGGGGAGGGGGCCTCTTACTGGGCTCCTGTTTTCAGGATTGGGCAATAGGTAGAAGGTGTGTTAAACTCTGGAGATGGCAGAGGATAGACAGCAGCAACAGGGAGATTGGAAAGGTCACCGTCTTGGGAAGACGTCAAGGGCCAGTCAACCTATGTTTAGACTCTTACCCACATGGTTCATCTAAGTGACTCTTCGTCCTTAACTTCCGTCCAATGGTCACCAGCTGGGAGGAGGTGCCCAGCTGGGATGCTCCATGTCTTTGATTCTATGCCTGCTCTTACAGTATGTATAACTGCGTGATGATGTCATTGCGTGTGTGTGTGTGTGTGTGTGTGTGTATCTCCTGCTTGTTCATTTCTGTTAGTGTCGGGAAAATTTCCATGCATTGCCTTAATTTAGTGTGGCTTAGTGTCAGTTCGTCTCGGTATTTTTGTTCCCTTCCATGTCAAGAGAGAGTGCTTTCTTTGGGGTGTCGAAGGATGAATGTCGGAGGGTCTAGGGTCAGCTGTGAGCCCAAGGGCTCTGTGGGTTGGGAAATGGAGAGCAGTTGGATGCCAGGTGCCCGGGTGCAACCACCGTTCACGTGCCCGCTCGGGGTTCCTGGGCGTCAGCGCGAGAACGCGGAGCCTGCGGTGTGCGTGGCGCAGAGTAGATGGAAAATCGAGACGGAGGCATTTCCTGCCTGAAACGCCCCCTGGGGTGCTATGGGGTCCAGCTGGGAGCAGTTTCCTCCCCAGCCAGGAAGGAGAGGGAGGCTGGTCGGGGTCTGTTTCCTGGGGAGGCACGCAGGCGCCTCAGCAGCCTGTTTCCTGCTTCCCAAGGGCGGAGGTTGCGGTGGAGGCTGGGCATTCGCCCTGGGTCTGGGGGAAGTGCACTTGGTCCCTGCCTTCTTGTGCGTCTCCTGCCTTGGGCACGTGTCTGCTTGCTGCCCTTCTGCCCGGGTTTCTCTGCACTGCACACCTGTCTTCCCCCATCGCTCCATGTTCTTCCCTCGTGACCTTCCCACTTCAGCCTGGTCGATCTCAGCCAGATGTCAGCAGAAGACCTCACTCGCTGCTGCAACAAAATATCATTAGAGCCCTGGCCGGTTTGGCTCAGCAGTTAGAGCGTCGGCCTGCGGTCCAGAGAGATCCGGGTTCGGTTCCGCTAAGGGCACGTACCTCGGTTGCGGTTTGTCCCCGGCCCTGGTTGGTCATGCAGGTGGCAGCCACTCGATGTGTCCCTTTCACGTCGATGTTTCTCTCTCTTCCTCTCTCTCCCTCCCACTCTATCTGAGCAAAAAAAAGAAAAAGGAAAAATGCCCTCTGGTGAGGAAAAATAAATAAATAAATAAATAAAATACCATTAGGCAGCCTGTGATGATGAGAGCAGTTTACTGTGTATATCCAGCTAAGAGCGTGGCCACCGGTAGGATTTTCTCTGCCTCTCAAACTGTACCAACAGCCCAGTTCTTCACCCCGTACCTGAAGACATCCAACTTGGAACAAGGAAGTCTGTTGCTTGGTTTGCATTGTTTGTAAGTGGACGGCATTTTCATGCAGGGGCTGCTTCCTAGGGTGGGTTCCTTTGCCACTAAGTATGAGGGCCCACATGGCTTAACCTTCAGAGATGTATTGTTTCGTCGCCCCGGGGGCTGGAAGTCCGAGATCAAGGTGTGGCAAGGCTGAGGTTCCTCCCGAGGCCTCTCCTTGGCGGGCAGACAGCTGGTCTCCCTGTGCCTCACGTGGTCCCCGCCCTGTGTGTGTCTGTGTCCTCAGCTCCTGTCTCATGAGGACACCAGTCATGTTGGATGGGGGCCAGTTTGTATGACCTCATTTTAACTGAATCACCTCTGTAAAGGCCCTGTCTCTAAATACAGCCATATTCGGGGGTGCGGGGCGTTAGGGCCTAGTGTCTGGACTTGGGAGGGGACACACGGAGCGGCCTGCAGCAGAGGGTGGCAGGCACAGGTTGTAAGAGGAGTGTGGTCAGAGGGGCCTCGGTCACTGTGACAGGAGCGTTTATGAAGAAGGCACGGAGCCATGGGTGACAAACTGGCTGCCCGGGACAGGTGCTCCCCAGCCATGAGCCCTCTGCTTCTCGGCCCCACCCTAAGCACGACTTTGGGGTGCATGGCTGATGTCACTGGGAGTTTGCGGCCTACATAACTCACGGGCGACTGACAGGCTCTGTTGAGGAGTTTTTAATTCTCCCCCTCTGACTACCAAGCAGGCCGGCAGCAAATCAAATTTGAAATTCATTAATAAGCAATGATTCTATTTTGGGCAACAAAAGGAATTGTTCCCCTCCTGGGCATCCCGGCCCCCGGGGGACGGTGATGGCAGGAAGGGGGCGTGCCGCCCCGCTCGGTGTTTTATGGACGCGGGTGGGATGTTTGCGGCTCCCCGAGATAAGGCCGCCAGGACAGCTGAAATTTCACTTTGCTTGGCTGTCGGTGGGTGATATCCGCTCAGTGTGTTGCACTGGTTATCACAGCCGATCGGGAGCTCTGATTGGCAATTGTACACGTCTTTGAGGGAAAAGAGAAAATGCATTATTAATAAGTGCTGCGTGCAGGGCTCTCTCAGAGCGTGAGGACTGTTGACGTGGAGATAACAGAAGGCGGCAGGTGAAATGCTGGGACCACTGAATCCAGGAGAACCGGGGCCACGGTGGCGGCGTCGGACGGGTGACTCACCCCGTCACAAAATCGCGTCTCTAGAAGACAATTAGTGCAAAAATATCTTACGGGAAATGTGGAATCAAAGGCTCCATCCAAATGGTTCTTCATTCCAAGTGACGAAGCCTCGGTAAGAGGAAGACAGGATTCTCCAGGTTTTCAGTGGGCGGAGCCTGCACCCTGTGGGCGACACCCCGAACACAGCGCCGTCAGCTGTCAGGGCCGCCGGTCCATGGAGCGTCCCGGGAAGGTCTGCGTCCTTCCTTGGGTAAGTCTGAGGCTGGGCCGTGGCCTCCGAGCTGGCGTGGGTTCCCAGGAAGACCTTGAAATGCTGGACTTCTCAGTTTCTGCCTCCTGTCGGAAGCCATTCGAACACGGACAATGCAGCGAAA